GACTGGGCATTGCCTTCGGATAGCCCTTGAAGTACTATGGATAAACACTCGTAAATAGGATATTATATCAGGGAGTGACTGTATGTGAGTCCTAAAAAATACTCCTAGATAGGATTCAGGGTCCTCTCTTAGATAGGATTTCATCCAATATGCTCCCACAGGATCACATAATCTCTTGGCTATTATGAAACGACTTTGGAAGGGAACCTAGAGACTCTGAAAATGTTTTTAGAAGATGTTAAAACACTAGGTAATATTTACAAGGACCCTAACTTTGTTGTCAATTATAGAGAGTTGTCTGTCCCTTATGGTCCCTTGTGCCTTTTCCATTTGCTTTGGAGCATGCCCTCTACTACATCCACTGCTCTGTCCACCAGACTCAACACACACACACTCTCTCTCTCTCTCTAAAGCTGTCCACAAGACTCGAGACTCTCTCTCTTTAGTAATACTGAAAAATTTCAGTAAATGACTAAATGCAAAACCAAGTAGGTGGGAATTGGGAGAGCTTTAGTGCCTTCTATTTATCATCCTAATGGAGCTGAACAATAAAGTAAACCTTTCCTTGTATTCAAAAAGGAGATCATGGTATAAATAGGAAAGTAGAATTATTTCAACAATTTCTATTTGAGACAAGGAGAGTATTGGGCTAACTTTTTCTCTGAATAGTGAGATGCAGTTTCATACATTAAATAATAAGTGAGATGTGGTTTCATAGTTTACTCATTGCCTTCTCCTCATGATGCATGCATTTATATGTTTTATTTAATGGAAAAAGTTTATACTAGGTTGCAATCTTAAAACATAGAGATAAAGATGCACATAAAAAATCCATATGCTCTCTAATTGATCATCTCGACATCGCGATGTACGAATATGAAAAAAATAAAATAAAGATTTTGAGTCCTAGAAATAGTGTATCTTGCAACACATTATCTCGATCGTCCATTTTCAAGATTTTTATATATTTATTGACTACTTGATTTTAACTATTTTTGGAGTTTAAAATTTTATTATTAGATATGAAAATAAATTTTTAGATGATCCTAATTATTTTTTAAACCAAAATTACGTGTTACGATAAAATTTGGAGGTGCGCCTTAATTGGATTGTTTAAGGTCGCAACCTTATAGAATCCACACCTTTTATAAATGGATGAGGTTTCTATAAGGTGTCAACCTTATAATATTGAAGTAAGCACCTAAAAAATATGTGGAAAATGCAGTTTCGGTGCCATTGAGCCTTATAATGATATGAAAATCTATTGTTGCCCCCAATTATGAAATTTAAAGTTCCATAAATAATGACGATCAAGCAGATCTATAAACAATAAAAAATCTTGAAAGTTGACGATCTAGATAATGTGTTAGAAGATGAAATATTTGTAGGACTAGAAGTCCCCTTATTTTCATGTGTATAAATTCCGAGGTCGAGATGATCATATAAACAACATTGTCTAGTGAGTTATTTAGATAAGGTTGACACCAAATGTAAACCTTTTTCTTTATAAATTGGGAAGTTACTTTTGTAAAAAAGGCAAAGCCAATACAAATCCATCTCTAAGTTAATGCATTAGATGAACGGTCCAGATCACGAGGAGTAGTCATCCAAAGTAGAGAAGCAAAAGCAAAGGCATAAATAAAAGTGGGGAGGGTAGGGGAGGGGAGGGGACTGACTCAGCTGATGCCCCCATGCCATGTATCATTTATTTTCCTTATATACACTCACTGAAAGGGAGCAACAGCCACAAGATGTAAATAGACGATTGTGATGAGAGTAGATCATGCATTAGTAAAGCCTACGCTATGAATGAAATAGACTAAATAGAAATAGAGAGCCACACGACCACGTTTTCTTGTTTATTTTTATCTTATATGAATTGCCAAAAAAAAAAAAAAACTCAAAATGAAGAATCACTGGAAAGAAGGAAGGCTCTTTTTGGGTTGTATAGTATATCAAAAAAAAAGAAAAAAGTTGGGAAAGGGATCATGGCCCCATCAGCCTGTGATATATTATAAAGCAAGAGAGAAAAAGACACCACAATTGTTATATGCTCCCGCGGGAGCACATTATGCATTCACTCCCTCGTGTAAAGCAGCAGCAGATGGGAGTAATTTTAGAAGGCAAATGTCCAGACTTGAATTCCCTCGAATTTATAACAGCGCAATATACCTGATCTGCAAGAAAAAATAATGTTAAATAAAAAAAGGGCTAGCTTTTCAGCAGTTTTATCGGACTGTTTAAATAATTTAATTTTAAAATTTACTTTTTTTACTACTGGATAATTTATTCCAAAAATTTTCAAACGGGAAATATCTTCCCAAGCAGATCAAATGATAAAGTATATATCATGCTTCCGCGGGACTACAATACATTAGCACAAGAAATGCCAAGATGCCTAAAACCCTAGTGGCTGCAGTTACGTGTTTTTAAATCTTCGCTCTCTACAAATAAAAAATAAAAAATAAAAAAATAATAATAATGGCGGCCATGGCTACCAGCGATCTCTTCCTTCTTCCCACCCGCGACGAAAAGCATTGCAGTTGAAAGAAGAAAGGAAGCAACACAGCGCCATCTCAACTCTCTCTCTCTCTAAATCTCATTCTGCTCCCCTGTTCACTACAGGAGAAATTTGTTGGAAGGAAACCGATTTTGCCCCCTTGAAGAGAGAGAGACAGAGAGAGAGAGAGAGAGCATATATGGTAGATTAGGAGGAGGGGAATGAATGGGCGGTTTACTTTGTTTATGGTGAGAGTATAAGTATTGATTCCGGAAAGAGAGAGAGAGAAGAAACTCCTTTAGAGGGACTGGAATCTGTCTATGGCATGCCTCGGGAAGAAACAGGCAAGGGATCAACGCTGCTACAAATGGAATCCTCCTTCTTCTTCCTCAACTCTTCTCTTTCTCTCTTCTTCTTCTTCTTCTCCTTCTCAACACCTACAAGGATGCATCTCTCCTCGACCTCGATTCCCATCTTCTTCTTATTCTTATGCGCCTTCTCTACAGGTAACTGTCGCCATCCTGGCATTCTCTTTGCAAAATTAAGAGCTTTTTCATTATTTTCTTTATCACTGGTTTGATTCATACCATGGAATGGATGACTTGCTTCTAGTTTCTTCTTTTTATGCTTTTCTCAGAAGAATGAATTGGTGAGTCTTTTTTGGGAACTTAGACGAAGAATTATCCTTGTTATCTGAGCTTTTTGTATTGGAAAATGTTTCTCTTGCTTGATGATCAGTCAATGATATCAAAGAGTGTTCTTTGCCTTAGATATGTTCTCATAGCAAATACATGCATTTTTTCTTCGTTTTTTCAGATGATAATTTTTTATAGTATTGAGGTAGTTAGTTTTGTAGTTCTGATGAAATTGATTGATGTGTTTAGTCCCTCTTAACTGTATCATACGTTCCCAGGGTTGTTTTCCCTGAATTCATACTGAAATTTGAATTCTGGAGCATTCTCTTTGTCTTTGAGATATAACATGGAAGTTTGGATGCCTCTCTGTCCATTCAAATTAGTGACTCTGCTTCTGTTCCCTGAAATTGTCTTTTCCCTTCATTTATTAAACCTGGAACTGGAGCATCCATTGAATTATTGGTAATCCTAAATGACTGAATTATTAGAAATCCATTCAGATCTTCTGCTGGTTGTATTTCAATATTCATGAGGGTAGTTTAGTAATTTTATTTTTATGTTAGTGAGAAGCAGGGACTGCCTATAATGCTAATGCAATCCATGTGAAACTGAAATGTGGTCTTCAATTGCTGTCCTTATTGTCAAAACTCTTTTATTCTGCTAATTTTCATAGTTGGTGCTTGAAACTGGAAAAGTTAGGATCCAGCGTCATATCAGCTTTAAAACTGTCGCATTTTTATTTCATCTGTCTCTACTTATTCATGCCCCTCCGTTTATTTAAATGAATAGTGAGTATTAGTCAATAGTGCTGAAGAGAGCCATTTCTTGAATTGCAGGTGACTTTTTGAGGGCAGAAGCATTTACAGGCACATATGGCATCAATTATGGCAGAATTGCAGATAATCTTCCTGCACCAGAGAGTGTTGTCACACTTTTGAGAGCAGCAAGGATAAAGAATGTGAGAATATATGATGCCGATCATAGTGTTCTCAAGGCATTCAGCAAGTCTGGGCTTGAGCTTGTGGTTGGCATCGGGAATGAGTATTTGAAAGACATGAGCGTGAACGAAGATCGTGCTATGGACTGGGTGAAGGAGAACGTCGAGCCTTTCTTACCTGATACCCATATCCGAGGGATCGCAGTAGGCAATGAGATCCTTGCATCAGGTGATCAGGAGCTCTCGGAGGCCCTCTTGGGTGCGGTTATGAATGTTTATAATGCTGTCTTTAGGCTTAAACTGAGCGATCAGATCGAGATCTCGAGTCCCCATTCCCAAGGGGTGTTTGCTTCTTCGTTCCCCCCTTCGGCTTGTAATTTCAGGGAAGATGTTATTCAATACATGAGGCCTCTTTTAGAATTCTTTTCTCAAATCGGCACTCCCTTCTATATCAATGCCTATCCATTCCTTGCCTACAAATCAGACCCTGACCATATCAATCTTAACTATGCTTTGTTCAAGTCAAATCCTGGGGTCTATGATGCCAAGACTAATCTGCACTATGATAACATGTTTGATGCCCAAATTGATGCTGCCTATGCTGCATTGGATGCTGCTGGATATAGTAAGATGGAGGTTCGGGTTTCGGAGACTGGATGGGCTTCAAAGGGGGATGACGATGAAGCTGGGGCTACGGTTGAAAATGCTAGGACATATAATTTTAATCTGAGAAAACGTCTTTCCAAGAGGAGGGGGACACCATTGAGGCCAAAGATTCCAGTGAAGGCATATGTGTTTGCTTTGTTTAACGAGGACCTGAAGCCTGGGAAAACCTCGGAGAGGAACTTTGGACTGTTCAAGCCTGATGGGAGCATTGCTTATAATATTGGGTTTACTGGGTTGAAGCCCTCGTCAGCGCCATCATCTTTCTTGTCTTTGAAGGTACTGTTGTTCTTAAAACTTGTTTCATTTCTGCGTCGTATGAAGGCCCTTGAAACCTCTTTGATTTTTCCTATTTTTGCTTGTCAGAAAAGTATAACTGTCTTCCATTAGAATCTATTGCTGTAAGTGCAGGAATTAAGATGATACACATTCGATACCAGCTATTTTGACACACATACATCTCATGAATGCATTTCAGTTCTTCTGTGTTACCTTGATCACCATCATCGTTCTTGCCAATGCTTCATATATACACCCATATACATTCGCACATACATACACATACACGAACACATGACTCATCATACAGCTGTAACTTGAACGTGTGGGCTTTGAGATTTTTATCCTCACATTTGGGAATGTAGTAATAAAAATACACGGTCCACATTTATAAGCTAAACTTTTTTATTTGATCAGAATTTTGTAGTTGAATCTTTTTATGTTCTTTGAGTGCTTTAGTCCAAAGTTGCATATAGGTATGATCATGGGACATAACTGGAAAAGGATCATAGGAATTTTAGAATATCCCTTATCGGTAAGGTCTCTCCCAAACTCTTCCATGGAAGGAGTCCATTTTGCTGATAGCTTCTTGCTTTGCCAGTGGTAGCCAACTCTTGTCAAAGCCCTTGTTGTTGAGGGCTTTGACGTAGCTACCTAGCAGCGGAGTGAGTGCTTTGACTAACTCAAATCGCTCGGGGCGGCTACACATCTATTGGGCAGCAGCAAAAAGGGCTCTTTACTACCTTATAATAAAATAAAAGAAAGTTAGAAGAAGGGAAGCTCGCATAAGCTAAGCTCGCTTTCCAAGCCAAGCCAGACGAGACGTGCTATAGGCTTTCAATGAACGCCACACACTTAGCTTCGACGTTAAGGGCGGCCCCCTATGCAATTTCGAGTAAACAGGCTTTCTCTAAATATTTCAAATTTGGAAGTAAGAATGGAGATTAAATTCTCATTACACCTTAGCTAATCTCTAATGGTATTCAGGCTCTTTCTGAATGATTGTTGAGCAAGTTACCTTTCATTATCAAGAGATCCAGGAAGAACTGGAGAAAGACCTTGCTTTGCGATTTGGGGAGTTTGCTTTTGCTTTGCTTTCGTTGCCTATACCCACTAGCATGGCAAAAAGATTTCAGTGTTTTGCCATTTCTATTCCCTTCCCCTATGGATGATCTAGGCGTGCCTCCTGGGTAACTTTTCATTGTAGCTATTTCTCCAGTGTGGTTTCAAATATCTTTTAATATTGGATTTTTTTCCTGATCCATCCTTTGTTATTTTATAATTGCACAAGCTCTTCCAATGTTGAATGAATACCATGGGTCACTCACAGAGTCTAGAAAGAGTGTATTCTGTTGTTCATTTAGCGTTCATTTCCTTGTCTTCGCAACTACCTCAGATGAAATCTAATTCAATGGTAAAGACTGTCATGGGACCACAATTAAGATAGTCAATTTTGTACCTGTTGTCTCCTATTACCTATTTGAAACTGATATATACTCTCTCTCTCTCTCCCTCTCTCTACATGGTCTTTTCCTTGCAACAAATTGCTCGCTATGGCCTTCTCCCTAGCGCTACATTAGGCATCTGTTTCTTTGTCAAAGGGTTTTCAGACTAGGTTTCCTTGAGGTCTATTTGTTTGAGGCAGTTTGCCACAGGATTTCTGATTATCTAATCCTAAAGAGCTGATATTATTTTATATTCTATTGAGGGGTGCACTGTCAGAACATTCTATTGAGGCACTCGCATTCATATTTGGTACCTCTTATCAATATCATTTGTACGTAGCTAATATATCTGGGTTCACATTGCAAAGAAGAAACCCATGACTCTTGAACTACTTCAGTCGTGCATCTCAAATTTTATAATAGCGGCATCTACTCCATTGAGATCAACATTAGAAAACTGCTAGATTGGGGGCTGTACTTTATATTGGTTCTCCGGAACTGTTATCTCCAAAGTTTGGCAAAGGTATAACTTGAGATGTGGAATGTATGGCCTTGAGCAATAGCTCAAGAGTTGTAGGCAATAAAATATTACTACTGTGCATATATGAGAAACTTGTATGGTTTATGCTCAGTGGTATACGTAATATACCCTGAAAGTAGATGACAAGTTCAGAAACTTCTGATATATTTGTATTTTTTTTTGGAAGGCAATTAGCCTGCCTTTAATAGTCATGTTTGTTGCAGCTGAACATACATATAATCACATGCGCTGTGAATTTGTAATCTTGAACTTATGATGCATATTGTGAGATCTTGAAATGGCATCCATGGATGAAAGTGCCAATCATCTAGGAAACTAGCTTGAAATATAAGAGTCTAATGGCATCCATGGATGAAAGTGCCAATCATCTAGGAAATTAGCTGGAAATATAAGAGTCTCATTTCCTAAGTATGTAAGGGAGTACTAAAGCAGATTGTTACAAAAATTTGATGTGGGTGATTTATGGGTGGAACTTGAGAATTGGCTAAAAGTGGGGGTGGTTTATTGGTTAAACTTGAGAATTGGCCAAAAGACATCTGAAAATAGATGGGACCCCTAAATGAACCCCACGATTGGGAAGATGAAGTCGCTCGCTAATGATGACAATATTGGATATGGTCTTTGTGAGGCCAGCTGGGACGTGCGATTTCAAAAAGTTTGAGTAGAGATTTTTCTGGATGTGTCTAAAAAATGTTCACCCAACACTTGTCTCAGGATGACACCTTGTTTTATGTCATCAGTTGGGTATGTTGCATGTGCATGGTAAGCATCATGGAGGAAATCATGGTTGTCAGTGTTATTATTGTTTAACAATGTTCTTTGTGATCATGTTGAAGAAGCCTATGTGCTAGAGAGTGCAAGAGAGTGAGTGGGTAGACTGTAATTGGTCCTTATGAATGGGAAATCCTATGAATCCCGTGACATCACATCTCTATTAGGGGTGCAAACAGGTGAAGCAGTAGGGTTTAGACCTGACGGGGATCCAGCCCCAGACCTGGTCACATGCTGATCTATTGGACCTGCACCTGACCTGTTGGGCAGGGTCCAGGCCATACTCATATCAACCCCTTAGCAACCCGAATCTCTATTTATGGTACCAGGGATACCACTAGATGTCTACTATTCTAGTTGAATTCTTTCGAGTGTGGCTCTTTTTCTTAAAAAGTAGATGCTAAAAGTTAAGACACTTGCACTCTAGGCTCTCTCATGAGACATTCTCATCTGGCTCGTTTTTTTACTGATCTCCTAAGAATAAACCCATATTGTGGAAATTTTGCAACAATTTGCGTTACCAGCATTGCTCTTGGAGGTTTGTTTTGTTGTGCAATGGCAAGCTAATAAGGTTGGATACGGTGAAAAAGTTTTGGGATATTGCTAACTTTATTAATTATTCAGTATTCTATTTTGGTCCCTTTAGATTTATATCTGTTTGTGCATGACCTTCCATTTGTAATGAATATTATGTTTGCAGATCATGAGACCAAAACAAATATTGGAATTCTTATGCGTGTTAGTTTACACATTCATATATCCATGTACATTTGGCTGATTTGTTCATGTGGATATAGTTTGCTGAGTGAATTATGAATGGCACAGGACATGCGATCGTGGGGTTTGTCTGCGCACTACAGCATGGTCCTAATGGCGTGCTCTTTGAGTCTGCTTTTGGTTTTGGTGCCATGATATTAAAGAAGTTTTGGACAGTCATGTCCCTTGGATACAGTTTCTTGTAACATTTGATGTATCATTAATTCATCAATTTATGTAACTATGGTATAATTATTTCCCATCCTTGTTTCATGTGACTAATCGTTTTTAGCGTTTTATCAGCAATATGTGTGTTATTTTTTCAATTATAATTATCCGGCATACTAGTATTTTCTATTTTTATTTTTCATTTTGGGTTTCTCAGCTTTGTGAGGATTTTGTGAGGGGCATCTATGTAAAATTTAAAAATTTGGAGAAATTTTTAAACGGGCACAGTTGCTATGCGGCCAGCCGCATATTGTAGAAATGCGGGCTTGGCAATAAATATATATTTTAAATATAATTTGATATCCTAATTTTTAGAGAATATATAAACTTGAATATGAAAAAAAAATATTTTTTAAAAACAAGAAATAATAATATATTAAAAAAACATTTGGACCTTGTTGGCTGCAATTGTTTTTAGAGGGACAACTTATTTGCATCCATCTTTAAGATGGACGCTTTATACCTCTAGATTGTATATTATTTCATGCGGTCCAACCCGCATGAAACAATGTTCCTTTTTTAAAAAAAGAATATATACATAATTTCTCTTTTTTAGAATGTCATTATTATTTAATTATAAAATTTTAATATTTGTTTAGCAATAAATAATGTAATAAATTTTTAGTTAAATGCTTTAGACGTTCTATAACATTTGTGATCGTCAAGTGATGGTGAAGATAATTAACGTTGTGATTGTCAAGTGATGGTGAAGATAATATTTTCACGTACACTATTACAACATTCGAAGGACAACCCTATGTTGTAATAGGGATTATGACATTCTTTCTAAGTAAAAAGATTCTATGCTCCTATCGAGCATTGCCTCTATTCACTCCCGTAGTTAAAATCCAATCCAATTTAGAAGTATTTGTAGCCCCCAAAATTGTTATTCACTCCCTTAGTTAAAATCCCATCCAATTTAGAAGTATTTGTAGGCCCCAAAATTGTGAGTATGTAACCTCGTCAACTTTGCATCGAACATCAAAAAAGGGAAAAAAAGAAAAG